CATCCACCAACCCAACAACCCACCTACCCATTCATTCATTTATTCATCCATCCATCTACCCACCCATCCACCCACCAACCCACCTACCCATTCATTCATTCATTCATTTATTCCTTCATCCATCTACCCACCAAACCACMCACCCACCTACCCATTCATTTATTCATTTATTCATTCATCCATCTACCCACCCAACCACCCACCAACCCACCTACCCATTCATTTATTCATTTATTCATTTATTCATTCATCCATCTACCCACCCAACCACCCACCCACCCACCAACCCACCAACCCATTCATTCATTCATTTATTCATTCATCCATCTACCCACCCAACCACCCATTCACCCACCCATCCACCCACCCATCCACCTATCAATCCATCCATCCATCTATGTTTTTGTTCTCACACATCCTTTTCTCCAGGGATACTGCAGGTTCAGATGACTTCAGGACATACACTGCACATTCAATAAAAGATGTTAAGGTGAGGATTAAACATATCAGGGAAGTCGTGATGGTAAAACGCCCATCTCTCCATGGYCTGCTGTTAAAAAAATTGCTACACATTATGGTAGGGTAACTAGAATTACATGGAGTATTGAATTTTGCAGGGGGAGGAAAACCAGAGAACACAGAGAAAAACCCTCAAAGCCCGGGGGGTACTCTGCCAGAATTTGGGAAGCAATGTTCTGCTGGGATTCTGAAAGGGGTACCCTGTTTATGATAAAAGATGTAATTCATTGCACTGAGTTCCTGTTGCAATTATCATGTCATCTCACATATTGTTTTTTTACGACCATGGACCATGGTCAATACGAAAGCAGAATCCCTGAATATGACAGGAAACTCGGAAAGAACTTGGAACTTGAGTGAAATTGCATACCCTGTTTATGATAAGAAGCTTGAAAAACCATACCCTGTTCAGCAGATCATCCCCGTATAGTCCATATATGGGAGTACCCCCCCCCCCCCTCCAACCGGCCTCAAAGCACAGGAGTGAACCAACTAATGACTCTACTCACGTATGACAAGTCTGAGAATTGAGCCTGGACCTGTGGCATTGATGAACCAGTTGCACAGTGTGGGATGAGTTGGTGTTTCTCTTTCTGACTCAAAGGCTTTCTGGTTTTTCCTTCTTACTTTCAGACTAAACCTAAGTAATTCAAACTGGTTAGAGCTGTGCTCCGGGGTCATACATGGACTGTATAGCAGTTGCCAGAGGCACCTTTTCATTGCTAGCAGCTCAACCCCAGTTTGACTCCACCACTGTCGCACTTGCAGTGGTGAATGAGAACAAATRACAAGTTTTCTTATTAACCACATGTTTAACACATGGTTGATTAAAGGGCAGGTTAAATTTTGCTGGTCTAGGGAGCATGAAAAAAAAAAAGAAATTTAATTTATTTCCTGAATTAAAATACAAATAATAATGAATATAAATAATGATAGCTTAATGAAGTTATCAATATATGGTAATGTATTGTATATCTTTCAGGGTGTTATAATAGTATTTGATGTTTGTAATGAAACAAGTTATATGAATGTACAGAACTGGATCAAAACTTTGAATCATGTAAGTTGCAAAGCACTGCACTTTATGGCATGCATCCATCTATCCATGGGCCCATCTATCCATCCATCCATCCATCCATCCATCCATCCATCC